TCTGTTCAGCAGAAGCCCTTGAAGCATGTTGTACAGTGTGTGCTGGCAAACGCAGAAGACACCACCCCAAGGGGTGTGTGTGTGTGTGTGTGTGTGTGTGTGTGTGTGTGTGTGTGTGTGTGGATCTCACCTGGGGGTTTTTGAACACGGCGTACTTCTCGATGCGTTCGATGAACATCAGGCGGTTCTGGCTGTCTCTGGTCCAGTTCAGAAGGTTCTCCACCAGGTTCTCATGGTCCTCGAAGATCCGCTCTGCACACAGGGGATCACAGGTTTTAGTTCATTTTGGGTTGATTAAGGGCAAATCAAAGATAATCAGAAAATACAGCCTGTTATTTTCACTTTGACAAAAGACGATGCTGTCATTTACTGGTTTTATTGTGTCCTTGAAGGGGTCCAAACTCGGTTGATGTTTGAATATCCAAAAGAATAACACCAAGAGAAAAACTCAAACTGCTACCACATGAACCCTGTCGTATATATAACGAATTTGACACTAAATACTTAACATTCGACAATCCACAGATATAACTTTGGGCCCTTTGAAGTTTTGGATTAAAGATCATTTCCCTGATCCTTTTGCTGTGTGAGGACGTCTCTAAACTTTCAATTTGAAAAGAGGAAACAGCGGATACCACAAGTCATCTTTTAACTATAAATTCTCATTTGAAGTTGTTCTTTTTGTTATGATAACTACAGTTTTTAGCAAAAAAAGAAAAGTTTACGTATGATATTATTGTTTTATGTTCGAAAAAATGTTGTAAATGATGTTTGGTTGGACTTTTGGGCCTTACCACCCATGCAGGATATGGCGCGTGGCGGTCTGCTGCCCTAAAATAAAACACCGTCCTCTGAGGACCGGACCAAACCATTCAGCTGTGACCCAGATTTACGGACAGATCTGTTGACCTCACTAACACAAAGTGCTTTTTTAATTTTGGGGCAACGTGTGTGTTCTTCAAGTTTAGGTAAGATGTGGTTTCACTCCTAACAATGACTCTAATGTACCTGAGCGTTCACACACAGGTTTATGATAATCCTAAGTATCATATTATTTTAAGTAATATGTCCGGCTACATAGAATTGCCACAGATTTCACATCAACACGGTACCGTTATTAGGATTAAAAAAATGATTATTTTTTCTCTAGGTGTTACACATGATAAAAAAAGAGAATTATTGAGATGTTTTTAGATAGTTTTGAGAAAACAGCACTTTGAAATGTAACTATTATTCTTTTTCATTTGTGCATTTTGTGTTCTGTTCAGTGTTAGATTTTTTAATTTAAAGGAATATTGAAATAATGTCCTTTATCTTTTACTTGAACACATTCGTGTGTTTTGGCAGACTACCTAAAGCAACATAATGCAGAAAGCACATTTTAATATTGTTTTTTTTTATCGCAAGTATTTGAGTTATTACGAAATTCAACGATGATACTTATCATACATGTTCCTCATAGTATATAGCGCTAACACTTTAATAGCATTACAATACTGAGACATAATACATACACTGGTTAATAGCAGAGCAATCATGAGGAACAAACATTGTTTTGATTCATGTGTTGGTCATTTGGAAATGAATAATTATTACCAACATAACGGTTAATACTGTTTATACTACTACTAAATGGCTCTTCTTGTTAAGATCATCATTTCTATGTTCCATTCTGTCATTTCCCAAAGGGAATGAGAGGTCAGAGAGAGTCAGTGTATTGCCCAAGGGCACTCAGCAGGGTACTGGTGTTGCTGGTGTGTGTGCGTGTGCGTGTGTGTGTGTGTGTGTGTGTGTGTGTGCAGTGAAAGAGTTATTCCATAATGATCAGAGGTTCCAATTTAAATCTTCCTCAGGACAAATGCTGGCCCTAATCCCAGGTTTTTTAGGAACCCAGGTGGAGTGTGTGTAATGTGTGTGTGTGTGTGTGTGTGTGTGTGTGTGTGTGTGTGTGTGTGTGTGTGTGTGTGTGTGTGTGTGTGTGTGTATGTATGTGAGTGAGTGTAAATGAGGAAATGAGGTTAGCAACCCTGCACCTTCTCACTCTCTTTCAAAACGCTGACTGTCTGTTCAGCAGAAGCCCTCAAGATGTAGGTTAGATCACACACATCACTGAACCGGACCTATATATAGACTGTGTGTGCGTGTGCGTGCGTGCGTGTGTGTGTGTGTGTGTGCGTGCGTGTAAGTGTGTGTGTATGTGTCAAACAGTGTTAAGTGGACTTGAAGCATGTTGTACAGTGTGTGTGTGTGTGTGTGTGTGCGCGTGCAAGTGTGTGTGTGCGTCAATGTGTGTGTGAGCGTTTGTGTGTATGTGTCAAACAGTGTTAAGTGGACTTGAAGCATGTTGTACAGTGTGTGCTGGCAAACGCAGAAGACACCACCCCAAGGGGTGTGTGTGTGTGTGTGTGTGTGTGTCTACTACGTCTTTCTGGGTGAATATCTGTGCCGCATAATGTAACAAACAAATTGACTCAACTATGACCTTTCCTCGACACACACACGTTTTGGCGGCACATGAAAGCTCTCTGACATCAATTTTGAATGTATATATTGTTATTTCAATACATTCTTACATTTCTACACTCAACATATTTCACACAATTGGGAGTTTGAGCATGGCTCTAAATGACAGAGGGGGTCTTATGCTGTGCAGATTACAAAGCACCCTGAGACCAATGTGTGATTTGTTATATTTGCTGTACAGTATAAATAAAATGGGATTGATTGAAGGAAATGTGTTGTAATAGTGCAGACATAAACAGATCAGTTACGTCAATCCCGCCTAAAGCTAGTTAATCCAGTTACATTTAGATTAATTATTAATTTAATCATCTGAAGTATGCCATCTGTTTCACATTAACCTCTACTCACTCTGGGCCAGTGATATAAATATCTCTATTCATCACTCATGGACTGTACATGCACATATCTTCATAAACACGTAAGTGCTGCTCAGTGTGTGTGTGTGTGTGTGTGTGTGTGTGTGCTCACCCATCTGCAGCTCGTTGATGGTCTCCACCAGGGACCAGTCTGGACTGAAACCGCAGTGCGATTTCTCCAACAAACTGTCCAAAACCTGAACAACAGAAGAGACAGTGAGCCTTCACGACATCTGTCCCTACTGATGACATCTCATATGAATAATACCTTTATCAACAAAGCATCTTGAAATACAGGGTTTACAAAGTGTTTTCACAGCCGAAGCAACAAGAAGAAAAAAGAGGCGAAAAAGAATGACAGAAAACTGTGAAAGAGAAAAAAAATCTATTATAAAGCAAAACATGAAACTACAGCTACTTTTACAGTTAATTAAGTTTTTACGGCGTCTGCTTATGCAACTGCAAAGACAGATGTACGACTACAACATCGAATGACATCACTACCAATGCAGCTCGTAGTAATAATCCACATATTAATAATACAACTATTCCATCGGTCCACAGTGACGCGTCCTAAAACCCGGAAGTAAGTTAGCATTTTACCACTTCCGCTTCCTTCGTCAAAAAGCAATGCAATCTCTTCATAGGATGTTGGAAAATATCTGAACTAAGGTCTGTGGTTGAGACACATTGAAGAGACCGATCACGTTTTGTTCTACGACATTAAATCCATCAGCAGTGACCCCGCTGGTGATCTCTGAAGAGTTCACGTGTCTGAAAAACGATGGTTGTTACCAAGTGGCTGAATAGGACTACAGAAGTTATCGAGGCCGTTGTACGTCATTACACCGAACACGTAAACACTCCGCTAAGTTTGTTTTTCCCCGTGTTCTGCTTGAAAGCAAGTCCCTGCCTCCTGCAAACTGTTCAAACAAACGCTTCAACTCGTACCATTTAGAATCTGTAGTTCTGAATATGGATCTTAAGTTGGCGTGACGTTGAAGCAGCGACCCTGCTGTAGTTCCTTTATAGCATAACGTTAGCATTTTGCTTCTGGCGACTAGATTTATGATTAGAAAATTATAAAAGTAGGTAGACATGTGGATATTATCCGGCTGAACAAAACGTGATCCGTCTCTTCAATGTGTCTCAACCACAGACCTTATTTCCAGCTATTTTCCAAAATCCTATGGAGAAATTGCATTTTTGGCGAAGGAACCGAAAGGAGTTCACTTCCGGGTTTTTTGGAACACTAGCGCTTCTATTGGCTAGCGCTCCAACACATTGTACGTGACAGGCTAAGGGGCGGGACATCTCTAAGCGATGTTTACCTGTCTGACTGTCTGTCTCTCGTCCACCATCATCGTCTTCGAGCTCTCGTCTGACAGATGAACACGAATCACCAACTATGAAGAGAGAGAAAGGACAGAAGGTTATTATCTTCATCGTAGGATAAAAGAAGTCATGTTAAATTCATGATCCTGATTGGTTGCACCAATAATCCAGTTGTTCAGTTGACAACATAATAGCATTTTGTTGTTTTCTCATCAAATGAAAAAGGCTCATTGAGAGTACATCATGAAATATTTAAACTACATGACTTTGAATAATCCAGAAACAAACTCCAGATTTCTCCTGAGAGAAGGAAGTACTGAACCAGTTTTGCTTGTCCAGTAAGGGAGTAATAATACATAATGATATGTCCCAGTACAAGTACACACCACAACTATCTAAAATAACAAGCTAGAGGCTTAAGTATACAGTTATATCACACTGAATAAGTTATTTTTATTTTTTAAAGGACCATACTTACAGGTATGCATGTGTAGATGTTTTTTATATATTATTATACAAACAATAAAAAACTATACGTAAAATGCACTTATGTAAAAAAACAGTTTTCTACACAACTTGATTCCTGATTGATCACTTGTCTTTGGATTTTTGGTTCTTTTATGTATTTTTTTGTTTGTCAACCATGCCCTTAGTTTGAATTCATTTAATGAACACCGATTTGATGTGCCTTTTCTGATGTATTTGAAACATTGTTCAATAAAGTGTGCCATTGTAATGTAAAAGCCAATATCCAGTAAAATACCTTTGTTTCTTTCTGCACAACTAAACAACAAACCACAAAATGAGCCACTGTCTAATTGATATTTCATCAAGTGTGTGTGTGTGTGTGTGTGTGTGTGTGTGTGTGTGTGTGTGTGTGTGTGTGTGTGTGTGTGTGTAGTACGTACTAGTAGTATAGTATACGTACGTAGTACGTACGTACGTACGTACGTACGTACGTACGTACGTACGTACGTACGTACGTCGTACGTGTGTGTGTGTGTGTGTGTGTGTGTGTGTGTGTGTGTGTGTGTGTGTGTGTGTGTGTGTGTGTGTGTGTGTGTGTGTGTGTGTGTGTGTGTGTGTGTGTGTGTGTGTGTGTGTGTGTGTGTGTCACTGACCGTCTGGACCTTGTCTATCGATGGTTTAGGTCTCTCTCCCTCTGAACAGTTGCATGTCGCTGCAGCTCCTCCCTCTCCTGCGTCTCCCTGCAGGCCCGGCAGCACGTACACTGCAACACAACAGATCAAATAACAACAGCTGATCTGTACAACACCATAGCATAATAATCAAACATTTATTATTTAAGTTTTTTCTTTTAACTGTATTTTTTTGTTCTTGCTCACTAATCTCTTCCTTATATTTTTGTTTTCATTCTTTAAAAGCAAACCAGGTGTTTAGTGTAAAGCATTTGTCCCTGAATGCAACATCTATCCAATCCTTACTTCCTTAATTTAACTTCCTTAATCCTTACTTACTTAACCCTTTAGTAAGATCAAGAGACATTGTTAATCAAGATGTGGGTTAATAAAATCATCAACAACCGATGTTTCTTGTTCTGATCTGTGTTTATTTTTAGGGAAATACTGGACTATTTCCACTTAATTAACAAAAAACACAAATGTCATTGTCTGATATTACTCACTTGTGTTATACAATTTCTAATTAATGACCCCTACGTGTAATGTGATCTGCTTAATTAAGTCTAATGATCCTTTCTTTTTTATATTATGATTTGTATTGGTATTGTGAACCTGTGGCAAAGTATCGTAGATGAATTCAGAGGCATATTTTTGATCCCGCTGTGCGCTGTCACTCACCTTGTCCCGGTAGTCCAGGATCTCCCGTCAGCCCGGACCGTCCTGCAGAACCGGGATGACCGAGCCGTCCTGAAGATCCTGGAGATCCCTTCAGCCCCTAGAGACAAGCATTGATTTCAGTCAATGTAAAAAATGTTTGACAAAACAGGCAGCTCGTTAGTAGGGATTAGCAAAGCTCCGTACTTTGCACTGAAATGATCAATTATTTGTTAAACTACATAGATGTATACATAGACATAAAAGTTGGCACAAAATGTAACATCTTGGATGTTGACTCATCAAAATGTGGCTAAAAGTCAATCAAAACAAGCAGTAGTGTTGCTTTAATGCATGGGTGTCAAACTCAATTTCATCGCGGGCCACATTAAAATTATGGTTGCACTCAAAGGGCCGGTGGTAACTTTAAGATAATATAAATATACATAGATAAATATATATAATATATTTATAAAATAATGCATTATTTTACAATATTTCCTCTGCATTGGATTATTATCAGATAGGGTAATAACTTCATAATTAACTACATCTGAAAGCAGAAGTCTGTGGCAAATAATTGCAAGTATCTTCAGAGAAAATGTCACAAAATGATTTAAAAAGAAAAGCCACATTCTGGAAAAAAAGTTTAAAAATAAATAAAAAAAGACATTTAAAAGAAAAAACATATTCTGAGAAAAAAGTTGAGATGCATCGTGGGACATGTAGTTTATGGGCAACGTGATCCGTAAATCATCATGTAACCATATAATAAACATATAATATTATTTGCAAGCTCTTCAAAAAATGAAGTCACGGGCCAGATTTGGGCTTGCCACATTCACACCGCAGGACTTTCCCTGGTACTTTGGTTCTTTAGTTCCGTTAGTACCAATAATGTCGCATTCACACCGCCGGGACTACT